TTTTTTTTTTTTTTTTTTTTTTTTAGATTGTAATCTTGATTACCCCATTTCATCCACCTTATGGACTCCTAATCCAATCTAAACAGATCTATTTGATAAAGTCTGATCTTATGCTAATTTAATTTAATATAATCTACACTTATATCTGATTCAGTGTTATCACTTGGTACAAGGGTAAGACTAGCAGCCTGCCGAGCAAATGATGCCCTGTCCTATACATCAATGGGGTTTGCTCTTAGCAGCTACAGTGTTTCCCCCCCAGAATATAATGCACCCTCATTATGACTGCATCCCACCAGAAAGATGGCTTGTATACATTTCAGACTAAGGGTGGGTTATGTTTGGGGAATGATGATGGTCACAAGAACAACGAAGTAGCAATTGCACAGACACTCTTGTGAAATGCATTTTTTTATTGCCTAATCTGAACATGATTGTCACTAGCTTCATGTTGAAATTTCCAACCTAACAAACAGAATAAATTGTGCAAACAAGACCAGACCTGTGCTACGTGATTGCTCTGAAATCTCTGACCTGCTGGTCAGGTGCAAGTGAAATACACATCAAACAGACTGCAACCACACACCAACCTTCCTGGCACATCCACAGCATAAATAATGTTACATTGCAGTCGCACATGAAAGTCTCAGTGCTCTCTCTCCATCTTTCCTCTTCCCTCTCTTATGCCCTCTAGCCTCTTCCTCCTTGTGAGCACCCTGCTCTCTCCTCCGACCCTGTCTTGCTCGGTTTTCATGTTCTCATAGTGAGTGCAACTTCAAGACCCTCGTGCAGATGTGCATACGAGTCTGCTTTCGTGTTGTCATGCTCGCTATACACACCTCTATGAATAAAGCATGAATGTGCCAGACTGTTTTGTCAGAGTATCACCGACTCATCAGGAGGTTGGTTCTCAACAATCTGCCAAGAATGTATGTGCCCTCGCATGCGCGTGGGCGGGCGGGCGGGCGAGCGGGCGGGAGGGTGTATGTGCGTGTGCACAGCTGTGCATGCGTGTGTGTACCTTGGTTCCACCCAGATGACTAGATACAAGATGGGCGAGTGTGCGGGCGGGTGGGCAGGTATGTGTGTCGTCGCAACCTTACCTTATAATTTTATCTACTTATTTATTTTTAAGCCCAGGTTGTTGTAGAGGCCAGAGTCCAGACATATAGTGCTCACAGTCATCAATCAACTATTAGTTGTCTTAACAATTTTTATTTGTGAGACCGCCTCCCTACCGAATTTTCTATCAAGTTATATCTTATCAAACAGTTGTGCAATTGTTATAGTCTGATACGTGCAATGTCCACCATGTCTGTATACTTGAGCGCCGAATTTTTGCATACCATTTGCTTTTCAACATATTTGCACCTTATATTTTGTCTATTCTCTTAAACCACCAGTCCGCCTACGTCAGAAATCTCGGGGGTACCGGTAGTCCCCCTGACGTCAGAAACCTCAGGGGTACCGATAGTATAAAGTGGAAAACCGGTCGGGCCTGAAAAAATGGAATTTGCGGAAATGCACCAAATCGGCCCCTCAAATTTGCAGACCTTTGGATGAATTCATCTGAGCACAAACAATCGGCAAAGTTGCCGCTTGCAAATGGCGGGATTGGGTCCGCCTGTGATGAACGGTGGTCGCCGCCCCTTCGTACGGCCCGGCCCTAGCTCACCGGGCCAAGGAGTTTCGGCTGGCGGGGGGACCTAAAGTCTTGGGCGTTAACAAGCCACGATATTAGGAAACGTACGGGCCACTACACGAGTGTCGAAATTCATCCGAGTAGAGTGTCCACCCGGCAGTGTCACGCCGGATGTGGCTTGGTATGTCGTAAACATGCAAGAGCAGGGTGCTGCTCTGGCCGAGTGCGCCAGCTATACATCTCACGGATCTTTACAACAGAGTAGGGCGCCACGAGGTACAACATTATCCAAGGAGCTATCCACATCTCTAGGTGAGCGTATCCATGTCGAGCTACTAGCCCACATGTAGCGGCTTTTACGTGTTTTGCCAGAGGTAGGCTAGCCTTGGTCACTGCTTAGTCGCTGCAGCATAAAGGAAACACGCGATAATATATCTCGACTCTCGGCTTGATCGCGACTCATTATGTAGGGCATTGAACTCCGAAGTTGGGTCGCATGGGCTCCGCCTAGCGACTCGATTAGACCTTGGTCAGATGTGACCTTTAACTTTTAAGGCTCGCACCAACGTGCAAAACCTTCAATATGATAAGGAGACGGAGACACTCCTTGTGTAATCGACCAACCCTCGATAAGAGAGTGATCCCATCAACTCGCGCCGTGTACCAACCTTACACGTCGGGGAGAAGTCCTAAGCCACAACCCCATCCTACGGAGAGACCTAGTCTGACCGATGCATAATAGATAGAAAAGGCGATGAGATGTCATTGCATTTAGCTCGGACTGAAAATAATAACGAGAGAACACATAGGCTCTGTGACCTTAAATATGTATCAAAGGAGATGGGCTCTTAGCCAATAGTGAACATAAAATAACAATAGGCCTCTCAATCAAACAGAAAAATCAAAATCAGGAAAGCAAAAAGGTTCATCTCTTGAGATGCCTGAGCCGAAGCCTTAATGGGTCTATGCCCATGACAACAAGTGTAAATCTTTTCCAATGAACAGAATCAAAGGGAAACCTTACTCACCTGTGGACACAATCAAACATCATCACATAATAAACACGGAGTTAACTTTTTAATCACCCACACTCTTGGTCTCGCACAAGCTACACACGTCCCACAATCAAACAATCCTTTTTCGTTTCGTCAATCTTCCCATCCGACTCGTTCACTCAAGGAGTTTGACGCCTTAGGCTGAAAACAAAAATGTTATTTCCTGTAGGGTTTTCTCTAGGGTGAGGCTATCGAAGAGTAGGTGAGGGCTCAGCCGGCAAACCGACCTACTTTCTTAGGATAGCAGAATGTAGTCTCGAATAGACTCATGAAGAGTCTTTCTAGAACAATCCCTTGATGAAAATGACATGTACCACATACACAGCCACCGCGATCGCAACGCCCTTACTACCGACGTCATTATCTATGTGAGGTTCAAGCAAAACTTCAGATCTACTGGAAGATGAGAAAAAATGGGCAGCCCTTTCCCTAGGGAAGTAAGCTTCCAGAATATTAATAAACCCAAAATGCAAAAAGTTCATCAACTTAAGTGAGAGTTGTCAATGGCTAAGACAGCCATCTAGCATAAGTTTGGGCAACACTTTCCTATAGTAAAGTGGTACCCCAAGATCCATACTTGGCGAAAGACAGGATCTTACTTCCACTTCAAACCTAAACCCAACCATCTAACCAGAATCTTCCTAGGGCTCCAGCACATGGCGAGCATCTATGCGACTAAGCTAAGAAAAAACGCCCATAACATACCCAACAACATGATGCGGTAGAGAAACTCCTTTTTTCTAGACTTTGATTATGTCAATAGCATAAGTGTCACGAAAAGGAGTATGCATGAAAAAGACTCACTTATCCACCTTTCGGCTTTTGCGGTGTGCCTCATAAGTCACGAGAGGGCACAAGCAAGCCATGATCCAGTCAGACCAATCCAAAATCGGCCACCTATCCATCTCTCGACTTTTGCAGTAGCCGGGCATAAATAACTTTTAGTATAGCCTCTAATAATATAGGTATATGTCACCCCTCCACCATTCTGGTTTGGCGGTGACTAAGCGTGGGTGATCCACTTTAGCTTAATAGTATGCGAAACAAAGGTCACCTTTTCGCCTTTCGGCTTCTACGGCGACCCATAACTATCTTAGGTGTAAGGTTGCCCCTCCGCCTAAGGGTTTCAGCGACAACCCCATAACTATACTCTACCCCTTTTATCTTAACTCAATCTTAGGCATCGAGTCGCCCCTCCGCCCGAGGGTTTCAGCGGCCACCCTTCACATTTACCCTACTGTACGACTCTAACCCTTTCGATCTTACGGGTTGCCCCTCTGCTTTGCGCTTCGGCAGCTACCCTTTGTTTTTACCTTAAACCCTTAGGCATCGGGTTGCCCCTCATCTTACGCTTCGGCTGCTACCCTCTACCTTTACTTCATACCATAACTCTAGACCTTCACTTTGATCATATCTGCAGGTGTTGCGTTTACCCTCCCTTTATGCCTTGGTGGCTATGAATTCCCCCCGGAGGCGGCCATGCACGTCCACGACCATGCAACTTTGCAGCCCCGTGGCGGCCAGGGGGGGGGGGGAGGAGGGGAGGGGGTATGGAGGCTGATTTTGGTGTTGCGCAACCCCAACCCCAACCCCTTGCTAGAAAAAAAAAAAAAAAACACTTTTCGAGGGGTTTTGGGGGGTGAATAAAAATTAAAAAGAAAGAAAAAATTTTGATTGATTGATTGGTGGGGGAGGGGTTGTCCCCCCCCCTCCCCACGCGCACACACACACACACACTTTTTTTTTTTCATTGATTGATTGATTGATTGACTGATTGATTGGTGGCGGAGGGGTTGCCCCC